CTGTCGTACATTTATAGGTGTATTAAAACGTCCGTGCATGGATATGACACTGCGAGTTTTTCCTTCTCACCTCACGAACGTTGCTAATTAATTAAGGGCATTTTTCATTAAAAAAAATATATTTGCTTGAATGTGTGATGATTTTTTTTTTCTATTTTTGTTATATTTAGCTTTGGTTGCAAAATCATGTCGGCCACAACAGGCATTATATACAACAACCAAATGGCGGACTTCACGATTCCTAATTCGGAGGTTGAGTACCAACCAACGAATCAAGCCAACTACGCAGGTCCTAACAAACGTGCTTTATCATCCATGAGTGGCAGCATACTCCTCGATGAAAATGGTGATGTCAAGTTAGTCATTGGTTCTGCTGGCGGAAAACAGATAATATCTGCCAATTCCTGGGTAGGTTCATCTTATTCAGTACGTGTCATATAGAGTGATCCAAAAATTCTGATACAGTATGAGCTGCCTGATGCGATCAAAGTTCTGTTTTTATAAATTGTTTTAGTGTTTTATTAACTCTGTAGGTAACGATTGATGCTCTGGCCACTAAGTCTTCTTTAATAGATGTCATCGAAAAACGTAGGATTCATAACCAACTTTTCCCAAATCAAGGCATGTATGAAGCAGGTTTCTCAACGGTAAGTACAGTAGTAATTTTTTTTTTTACGATGATAGGCCTGATTTGTTACTATTATCATCACCATGTTATACTGATAACAATAATTATGAATGTGGTATCATTATAATGATGATGATCTTGACGACGATGATGTCATTGATGCTGAACATCATGTCGCTTCTCAACGGAGGCGGTAACAGTATATCCAAGTACAACTTCCATAAATTCGTGGCATAGCAGCAGTAACAATTATAACAAGAAATCATTAATAATAATAATAATAAAAAAAAAAAAAAATTCAAAATAAAAAAAAAATTGGGAAAAAAGAAAAAATATATTCAAAATTAAGTCTGAGAGTGCCATTTCCGACCATCTAGATGTGCCTTAATCATAAATTTTCTTACCTCAGCCCCAACCATGCTGGGGCTAAGGTAGTGACCCCTGTTGGGAAAATCCCTCCCAGGACCCCTGTATTTCGAATTCCTGGATCCGCCACTGAGTAAAAGTCTACAGCTACACACAACCTCCTTGTTGATGTCATTTCTTGTTTTTTTGTTTTTTTTGTCGTATTGGTTTTTCTTCTTTTTTTCCCACTATCTGGCTTTAAGCTGTATAGTATTAATGAATGTAAATGACCGTATGTTTTTCTTACTAATAGGAGGTGCTGACTGGGTTGGAAGATCTTGGTCAAATGGTTACTCAGGGAACATCTTTTGCTGTTGTTCAGGCAATACTAAAAGATAAATATGGAATTGAAGCACATGCAGACTCACGGAAACAGGGTATAGCGGCTGGTTATTAAGTGGTATTTATCCACTCAACACTATATACGCCACTCTAAATAACATGATAAGCAATAGATTATTAATATTTTTAATATTTATAATTATTATTGTTACTGTTATTTTTTTTATTACTGATGTTTTTTAATTATTATTATCATTTATTATTATTATTATTTATTTATTATTATTATTATTATTATTATTATTGTTATTATTATTATTATTATTATTATTATTATTATTATTATGTATTACTGTTAGGATTAGGACGATGAGGATGACGGTAGCATTTATTTTAAATTTTAAATTAACAAAACATTATTTATTGTAATGAAGATGATGATAATGATTATTATTATGACAGTAATGATTAGGATGATGATAATACACATAATAATGATGAGGATTATTTGTGCTACATGACATGAAGAGTAATGGTGAACTTAATGGCTCTGTCACGTGCTGACGCACAACATAATGTTTTCGCACCACGCACCAACTTTATAAAGCACTCTGCCCATGGAGGTGGTTCCAAAAATTCCCGACAAGGGGTCTGACATGTACGACGGGGTAGTACGAACCACAGAGCCGACTAGAATTTGGAATAAAAAAATCCCTGGTAGGTTCATAGGGAGAGTTTTATGGTTTAGTATGGTCCAAATTGTGCTTTTAGACCACAATATTAATTGATTTCATACGAAAAAAAATATATTAGGGAATGGCAATCAAAATAATTTTATTTAGATAGCAAACTATATATATTTTTTAATCTGATGACCTCGTTGTGGAGTCGGACGATCGACAGGGTGTTGGGTGGGGGGATGTTGGTGGGAAATGCCCTCCCTGCCCCCGCTGGCGCCACCACTGACTGTGTTACCTAATGATAATTAAATTTTAATCTGTTAGAGATGGTTTATGCGGAGTGCCTGTGACTTTACCTCATGAGAGAGCGATAATAAATTAAATGTCGTAATTTAATTAAAAATATATTTCAGGCTTTAACATCATTAGTGTAATATTTTGGCCTAATTGAAAAAGTTGGCCCATAAATATGGATATATTAAGACTATTCCGTTTTTGTGTTATGGTTCACGAAGGCATTTGGGTGTTTGACGTGACGGATAGTAAAATTGAATTATCATAGTTTTAATGCTTGAACTGACGTCATATACTATATCGAATAATTTAAAACATATCAAGACTCCAATTTTACTGCTTTGTTTTATATAGTCAGGTAAGCTATTCTGTGTTGTACTACCTCTGTATACTAAACTTTTTGCTGTCCTACATTAATTCTTTTTGATAATCATGTTTGTTTCTTGCTTGATAATTATGGATGTTTTCCATCTTTTGAAATAAATTATCAAAGACATTTGGAAGTTGGCTAATTTGGAGTTTGAACCTAAAAATTGAGAGTTGCTTTTAGAAACAGATCACTAGTATGAAGCGAGTCATTTCTTTAACTCTACACACAATCCTCATCGCCTGGATCGTTTTCCATCTTTTGAAATACATTATCATTTGGAAGTTGGTTATTTTGAAGTGTGAACATAAAAATTGAGATTTGTTTTACATACGGATCACAAGTATAAAGCGAGCCAGTATGATGTAAATAGTCAACTCTACACACAATTCTCATTCGCTTTCTTTCGAAGCAAGTGAGTTTGTGTAGTTCTATTTGATTAGCTGAGCTCCACACAGTAATTGCATAATTTAAATGTGGCAATACTAAGGCACTGTAAATTGTTAACAGTACTTCTTTTGGAAAGAAATATTTCAATCTGTTGATCATCCCAATCGCCATTGAGATTTTAACTGTACCGTGTCTCTTGACTCTCTTCCCACTATTACACCTTCTCTTCAATCCTGGTCTCTCGAAAACGGTCTTAAGTTTGCCCCTCATAAATGCAAGATCTTAAATATATAGGCCTAGTTTAGCAAATCTCAACTCAATCTACTCCCAATTTGTCTCTACCAATCCCAAATTGAATCTGTTGACCAACATCGCTACCTTGAAATTATCATCTTTCACTACTTTAAATGGCATTCCCAAATCATTACTCTTTACAAGTCCTGTATCCGTAAATTGTCCATCCTAAAATACCTCAAACACTTCCTTGATTGTCAATCACTTTTACTCCCTACCATGGAATACACATGTTGCATTTATGGTAAACTCCCACAGTGTAAAATGAACTTACGGATCGAATATCTTTTTTCTAAAATAATTTTAGTCTCATCTACACATTCTACGTATCATACCATATTTAATTTGCTTAAAAATCCGGAATTTGAAACCCGACAAACATTCTAGACCCTCTGAAGCCTTGGAAAGATCGCCCAGAATGAAAATAATCCTCTCCACTTCCACCTCCCTTCCAGTTGCCAATGCAACATTTCTCTTCGCAACTCCCGCAATATTGTCCTCCTCTCGATCCCTTGTCGCTCGGGACTCCTGATCCCTTGTCGCACTTCCCGCTTTGAAAAATCATTCCTTCCCTATTCCCTTTCCCTTGTATATTCTCTCTCTTTTGACCCTTCCTCAATCTCCCCTTTCCTTCTAAAGCAAGCTCTCAACATGTAGGCCAAGACTAAATCTCCTTTTCAGTCTCCTTCAAACCCATCTTGTCGTTGCCTTTTGTGTTGTAATTTTTATTGCTATGTATTGTGTCACGTTTGTTAGCGGATAATGGCCCTTGACGGCATATTGAAACAATAAAGAATTGAATTGAATTATTGAATTGAATGATGAATTTGTGTGAATAGGCCTATTATCAATTATTGTTGCAGTGGTTTCGGTAACTTTCGTGGCTGCATAATGAAGGTATAATAATTTAAACAAGTAGACGTATAGTCTACTGACTACATATTCCCCCTCCATTGAAAAACGGCGCCCTCGACAATAAGAGGAAAGAATGTAAAGAAAACCAAATAACAGTATTTGCATTATATTACAATAGATAACTCCAACCATAAGAAAGGCATAACACAAAAAAAATTATCAATCTTTTACATAAAATCAGTAAAATCAGAAATCCTAAAAATTAAATCTACATTTCATAGCTTTCAGAAATACCCTCACAAACAATAGAAATTAACCAGTACCTTAACAATATAAAAGAGTGTACATGATGTATTCAGCTAATAATACATTTGAAAATAAGAACATTAAACTAGCCACATATCAATCATCATATAAATATCATCAAATCAGTTATTAAAACAAAATGTATTACAGTACAGGAATCATTTAACACTGTATTAAAAATAAATTACCAATATGGCCAAAGTACTTAACATGTTAATTACACATCATTAGAGAAATATATGTACATCATGAAGAACTAAAAAATTGTCGTTAAAACATATTGCCTAAAAAGGATAAACACACAAACATTTTTTGCAAATGATTATATACTATGCTAACACTCATATATATTTGAAAGTAAAGATGGATAAAAAAAAAACAAGTAGACGTTCAGTCTACTCAGTACATCCACCCCTCTATTGAAAAACGTCGTTCTCGACGAACTTTCAATAAGAGGAAAAAAATGTAAAGAAAACCAAATTATCTGCAATAGATATACTCTAACCAAAATGAAGGCATAACAAAAAACCTTATCAAATTATTCCATAAAAACAGTAAAATTAGATGAAAGTAAGATCGATAATTTATTGGCTTATTATATCTGGACAAATGTGAGAAAAGTACATGAAGAGTTCTTGGACTGCAACTTCCAATGGCATGTGAGTCATGTTTGGCGTATCATGTGCCAAGTTCATGTCCAAATATCAATAAAATGGACCCCCCCCCCTTCTTTTAAAAGTCTCTGTGCATTAGGTGCCGGATCTCGTACAGTAATACGTCACTAGTCAGTTCAGCGATTATAAAGCCTCGAAAGGACTTGTACGAATGGCGTCTCGGATGAGGGCCTTTGATGATGAACTTTGTATCAGGACATTTTTGACGAAACCTGATTATACTAGCTTTGATATGTTCTAATCGACTCAAATACGCTTTCTTTGTCCAGACCTCATAATGTGCCCACGGGCGTATCATGATTACATAGTGACATGTATCAATTCCTAATGGTCTAAGACTCCACCTCGAACTTGCTTTACCCCAGCTTCTCTATACCATTTCCAACGGCATACGGATGAAATTGGAAAGTTAAATTCAGAAAATCAGTAACGATATTGAAGCCTCTATACAGACAGATTTGCAGGTACGTCCACATGGAGATGTAAAAGTAGTTTTTCACACCACTGTCTTGTAGTAGAATCGCCCAAGAAGATGAGTCGTTTGTTGGTTATACACATAGGCGTAGATCCCTGGGGAATTGGGGGACATATCCCCCCAATATTTGACATGGGGGGATGTATCATCCCCCAATATTTTGACTATGTATGGGATAAAATGGAACTTTACACACTTCAAAAGACTGTCACAGAAATAATTTGCACTGTCTTATGCGCTTACAAAGATGAAAATTAGCATAATGTAATAATGTTGATAACAAAATTACCGTATTTTATCTGGTACCATTCTAAGCTCTTCTTTCCTTAGATGTCAGATGTGCTTGGAAAGAGAGCCACATTTCACACTGAAGGGTGTGTACGACATCAGTAATGTTATGTCAATTCCAAGAATGTTTAAGGTTATATCGGTTGATGAGGAATTTATTGATTAGGCCTATAATAGCAAATTGCATCAATTTATTTTGCAAAAACAAGGTTTCCAGCTTCGGAGGGGGGCACATCTCCTGTCCGCACAAAGGCACACATTGGCACTAACACCAGGCGCGTAACAGGGGTCTTGGGTCAGAGTGGGTATTTATTTTTTTAAATTTTTTATTTCAACCATCTTTAAAGAGGGTAACCCTTCTAGTTTAGCCCAGTAGGTTAACTGAGTATTCAGGGGCCCTCTATAAAGATAAAAATAATAATAAAATTAAAGAACAGTACAAACAACATCATTACAACATAATAATAATAACAATAATAATAATAATAATAATAATAATAATAATAATAATAATAATAATAATAATAATAATAACAACAACAACAACAACATCAGCAGCAGCAACAACCAATCCTCATTTCCCGGTTAGTAATTTACCATACCCACCCACTAACTCCCTAAAATGTGCAATTTATAGAGGAAATTGGCCTACCGTAACAAGAAATGCGCGCAAAGAATTTGAGAATTTTAGGCACTTTCAGAGGATGCATTTGTCAAGGGGTGGAGAAAGATTTTCCAA